TGTATATCACCTTAACATATGCCTTGGTATGTTTTTATTTTACTACTAATAAGGTAGGAGAAATTATAATTTTTTGACATTAAGGTCATGTCCTAGATAATTTTTCTGTAAGGTACCTAGAATATAGTTATAATAGAAATATCACAAGAAAAGGAAAACGGTATTTTAATCATTCTGTGCATTCATATGAATATTAAATAATAAAGACCATAACAAACAGTTTTGAAAGGCTATTCTTTCTTGGAGAGGATAAAAGAATTAATAAGGGGCAATTCTGTATGTTATTTTTAGAATATTCCCACATGTGAAACACAAAGAGACTTCCAGACACTTCTAAAAACCATAGTAAATACAATGGTCCTGATCTATTTTATGAAAGAAAAAGACATATTTTTAAGACATAGCATGTATAACATTTTTTTTTAATTTTTCAAATGAAATTTAATTACGCATGTTACGGTTTAATCTATACAACTGCCTTAAAGTTCTTTAAAGAATGTTTTAATATTTATTTACTTTTATTTGAAAGGCAGAGTTAACAGAGAGAGAAGAGATGTGATCCTCTGTTAGCTTTGTTCACTCCCCAAATGGCTGCAATTGCCAGAGCTGGGCTGGAGCCGGATCCTGGTTCAGGATCCCAAGAACTTGAGCTATTCTCTGCTGCTCTCCTAGGCACATCAGCAAGGAGACGGACTGGAAGCGGAGCAGCCAGGACAGCTGGTGCCCATTTCAGATGGCAGCAGTGTGCTCTTCACCTACTATGCCACAGCACCAGCACTAGGTTATTTCTAAAATGAAACAAAATGTCTCAATTTTTTAAAACCACACAAGTATATAATTAAGAATTTTTAGCTCTACAGAGATCAAATCTTCCTGTCATGTATAAAGTTTAAAACAATACTTTTTAAAAGGCATATTCTTAGGTTCTTGTCAGTTAAAACATTTTAAAATTATGACAGTCTGAAATACCAGGAGAGAACAGTTGTTTTACTGGATCCTACTTGGTGCAGGAGTCACCAAGAAGGTCACCAAAAATATTAGGCAACGTTCTCAGCCAGATGAAAGAGCTGTCTTTGTCATCCTAAAGCTGCAGGACGCAGGTGGCACAGCAGGGGCATACAGCTGCTCTTCCTGGATTGGTTACAGAAAGTCAAAGTGGCAAAGCAAAACTGTCTTTCACCTCCACTCCCCAGAAAAAGGGGCTGCCCACCTGCTCTTCATGCTCTTCCCCTTCCGTTCTGATTGCACTCACCACACATTCTAGAGCGTGCTCTTCCCTTGGACACCCTGAGTCAGAACCCTGAATGGGCTCTGGCCCTGAGATGAAGTGTTGAGAAGACTCACTGAAGCCCTTGCAGTTGCAAGGTGACAGCCACTCCTGTCTGGCCGTTTTCCTTTTGGGTTTGGCAGTGTCATGAAACACATGCGCTCTGCGACCCCACTCATCATTTCCTATCAGGACTCAGCCACATGACTACTTTCAGTGCATACTAAACACTTCTGACATTTCCCTTTTTCTGTTTTTTTTTTTTTCCTTTCTTTTTTGTTAGTGTTTCAAAGTGAGCTTCCCAAACCATTTGTAAGAGAAGCAACTCAGGGTAAAAGGTAGGTTCTTCACTCCCATCTGGGTTCTTTAAGGCTTTTCCACGAATTCTCCAGATGTGTTTTATGCACATTGAGAGTCACTGCCTTTCTCATTCTTGAAAATTGAAAGCAATGAAAACACATGTGTTTCTTCCCTGGTCTACTACACACTGGCCCATATGTGCATGATATGACTGGTTCTCTGGTGTGGTCCAGGAGTCCCTGAGAAGTGTACAGAACAAGGAGATCGGCGAAGTCAAAGATATTTTCATGGGGCTGGCCTCATGATATAGTAGGTGACCATTTGCAAATGCTAACATTCCCGAACTGAAATATGTGTATGAGTCCTGGCTGCTCTGCTTCTGCTCCAGCTTCCTGCTAACATTCCAGGGAAGGCAGTGGATGACAGTCAAGTACCTGGACCAGGCACCCACAAAGGAGACTCAGATGGAGTTCCTGACTCCCGGCCTTGGGCAGGGCCAGTCCTAGCTGCTGCAGCCATTTGGAGAACAAACCAGTCGGACAATCTCTAAGTCTGTCTCTTCCTGATTTAGCCTTTCAACTAAATAAATAACTCCTCAAATAATTTTTTTTCATAACACTGAAGCAGTATTTATTTTACTAACATTCTTTCATGTTTATTATTTTCCACAGGCTACAAGACAAATCCACAATAATCTGAAAAGGCTAGTAAAATATTCCTCTCATTTCTAACTAGAGAAATTGAATTTTCTTCATATACTTCAACCAAAATAACATAATTTCAGCAAACTGAATGCAGATAGAATAATCGAATTTTCTTTATTAAGTAAAACATTAAAAAGATTTGTAAAAAAATTAAATCATGCTATATTTACTAATACCTTTTGGAAAATATAAGGTTTTTTTAATATAACAAGATCATTTACATTCCAACATAATGGATTAATAATTGTTATCTTATAATGCACCAGCCAAGCAAATATTTTTAATCTCAGTTTTAATTTCTAATATGGAAATATAAATAGACACAATTCATAAAAATAAAAGCAATTTAGATGGCCAGTATGGTTGCATAACAGGCTAATCCTTTGCCTGTGCTGCTGGCATCCCATGTGGACACCAGTTTGTGTCCTAGCTGCTCCACTTCTGATCCAGCTCCCTGTTTTTGGCCTGGGAAAGCAGTGGAAGAGTCCAAGGCCTTAAGCCCCTGCACCCACATGGGAGACCTAGAAGAAGCTCCTGGCTCCTGGCTCTGAATCAGCTTAGATCCAGCCACTGCAGTCACTGGGGAGTATACCAGAAAATGGAAAATCTTTCTCTGCCTCTCCCTCTTTCTCTCTGTAATTCTAACTTTCAGGTACAATAAATACAAAAATCTTTAAAAAAAAGAAAAAGCACTTTTGGAGTTCTCATTTTTAACTGCTCCCTAGTACAGACACTAGAGAGCAAGAATTTTGAGCCCTGCTTTCCCCACATAATAAAGCAGACTAAAAATTATGGAATAGTAAAAAATGAAATGTGCCCTTAATCAAATAAATACATTAATGTTAATATTATATTAATCAAAAAGCTAAATAATTAAGCATCTACTATGTAAATCGCTTACATTTTTTTTTCTAAAGATTTATTTATTTTTATTGGAAAGTCAGATATACAGAGAGGAGAGATAGAGAGGAAGATCTTCTATTCACTGATTCACGCCCCACCAAGTGGCCACAATGGCCGGAGCTGAGCCAATCTGTGCTTCTTCCAGGTCTCCCTTATGGGTGCAGGTGCCAAAGCTATCCTTGGCCTCCTTCCCAGGCCACAAACAGGGAGCTGGACAGGAAGCGGCATGAACTGAGCGCCCTTATGGGATCCTGGCGCATGACAGGCTATTACACCAGGACCCAGTCACTTACAATCTTAATCATTGTCTCAAAATTATGGAGGTGGCATTCAGGTGCTGTGGTGTAGCAGTCTAACCCTCTGCCTGTAGTACCAGCATCCCACATGGGTATCAGTTAAGAGTCCCAGTGGCTCCACTTGACTCCAGCTCTCTGTTAATGCCCTGGGAAGGCAGCAGAGTGTGTTAGTTCTACAGACCCTGTGCCCATGTGGAAGACATAGAAGAATCTGTTCACTCCTGGCTTCAGCTGCTGTAGCCATCTGGGAAGTGGATCAGCAGATGAGAGATCTATCTCTCTACCTCCTCTTCTAACTCTACCTTTCTAAATAAATAAATAGATAAATCTTAAAAAAAATTACAGAGAGAAGACATTTGGCCTATAAAATATAAGGTAAAACAACTGCATCCAAATAGAGTGCCAGGGTTCAAGTTCAAGGTTCTAGCTCAGCCCCTGCTTCCACTTTCCCATTAATGCACACGCTGGGGTATAGCAGGTGATGACTCAAGTGGCTGAGACCATGCCACCATATGGGACTCTGCATTGAGTTCCTGGCTCCTGGCTTCGCCTGGCCCACTGCAGGCATGTGGACAGTGAGTCAACAGATGGGAGCTAGCATGGCCTGTTACTCTCTCCAGCTTCCTCTGTTCCTTTCTGCTGCTGTCTCTATTGCTCAAAAACAAACTAAATAAGTCCATAAATATGTTAATAATAAGAAAAAATAAATGTTCTGGGATCTCAACACAGCCAGAAGGGTGCTTTAATTTAGTTCTGGATGTGTATGAAAAATGAGCTGGTTATTGCAAAATGTTTCATGTCCTGGTTGAATAAACTAATCTTCAGTTTTTTAGACTCCAGATATTGGTTCAACAACAACAAAAAATTACGATGGACATATTTTAAATTCCTAAAACAAACATTCTTAAAATTAAGTAAAAGCTGGGACAGGTGCATTGGCATTACAGGCTAATCCCCCACCTGTAAGCACTGGCATCCCATATGGGCACCAGCTTGTGTTCTGGCTGATCCACTTCCCATCCAGCTCCCTGCTTACGGCCTGGGAAAACAACTGAGGACAACCCAAGGCCTTGGGTCTCTGCACCCACGTGGGAAGCTGGGGAGAAGCTGGAGAGAAGCTGGGGAGAAGCTCTTGGCTCCCAGCTTTAGATCAGATGAGCTCCAGCTGTAACTCGCGTTTAGATAATGAACCAACAGATGGAAGATCCTCTCTATCCTTTTCTCAGTACAATTTGCCTTTTAAATACAGATAAATGAATCTTTAATTTTTTTAAATCAAGTACAAACAATGGATTACTACAGCATCCCTTGAGGTACCACTGACCTAGATTTTCAACTTGTGACTTATTAAATACAGAAGAAAAGAGCTTCATTTTGCCATTATTTGCTAAGTGTTAAGAATAAAGTACATATTGAGACATTTGTATCCTTTTTTCATATTATGACTTTGATTAGTACTGAGAGTTATATCACATAAAAACATACATCACCTGAGGCAAATGTGATGATGCATAAATTATAGCTACATACCAAAAGTAGATTTTCTATCTGCTATCCATCGCAGTGCCCAATCTGCTTTTTTCTTAACATATGGCATTGTTTCAATTGCATTAAATAAAAATTCCCTGCAAAAACAAGAATTAAGACAAAAATCATACACTTGTCTTTCTCAACTAAATTGTGATGGTTTAAGCAGAGATAATAATTTAACTCTAGTATACTATCAGATATGTATTTTCCTATATTTCGTTATATTCATAAAATATAGAAATGAAAATAAAACTCAAAATCAGTGATTCAGAAATGCTCGAACACAAAACTTAAATGAATGCAAACATTCTGTCTCCAAAATATGCTAACAAATAACTTCTAAAGATACAATATCTGAAGATTAGTTTTTTCTAAGTTTTTAACCTAATTTATTAAGCAACAGAAAATAGCATAACCGTAAGCGCCCGTATTTGAATTCCCTTTTTTTACCATTCAGTTTTAAAATAGATTCTGCTTTGGATATAATCAAGCAACAAGTTAAAGCTTTATAAATAAAATTCCAGCAGTAATACCTTTTTTTGGGATCTCTGATGTAAGTGTCTATTAGCAAACTGTACATCTCTGAGTGAACATTCTCGATGAGGATTTGAAAGCCATAGAAACAGCGGGCCTCTGGAACTTGCACCTCCTGACTAAAGCGCTCCACCTAAGAAAACAAAGGAAATACAAGCATTTACTTCTGCGCGCTCTCACGAGACGCTGGATCAAGCACTACAAAACAGGACCTGGACATCAGAATTTCAGCAAACACGTCAGAAAGACTTCATGGATTTTCTTATGCAGCATCTTAAGCAACAGTGCTTTCTCCTCAAGCTTTTACAGCCATTCAGTGGCATACTGCATTATTAAGCAATTCAATGTCCTGAACGGATGGATGAAAATACCACCTACAGAACCAGATATATTTTAGAACATCTCCCAAAACTAATGCTCTTGTTTTGTAGAATTCACGCTGTGATTTTCTCTCAATAGTAGATAGATATACTGAAGTCTCTAGTTCCTGATGAAGATTCTTTCTGTGTCTTCTGATTGACCATATTAGATGTTTCTGAATGCAGAGCAGCAATTTAGCATTCTACCACAGAATTCCAGATAATATGGACGCAGGTACTTTACAAATCCTCCTGTCTAAGGGTAAAAATCAGACACTTATTCACACACTTTAAATATTTTTGATGCTACAATTTATGCTTGATTTTATATTTTGCGGGTCAAGAACAGAAATAGGCTTATAAATCCTTCCTCTTACACTACATCAGGAAAGCATTTCCAGAATTAAGTTTTACTCGGTCCGTTCTAAGACATATTTTCTCAGAGTCAATCTAATGATATTCCTGATGTAATTAACAGTTGGACACATTCTAAATTAAATTAAAAAAAAAAAGAAAACTTACCAAATTTTCATTTACAATTCCATCACTGGCTGCAAAAAAGGCCAATATGTAAGAGATGAAGTACTTCTCATCTGACGTGAGCCTGTTCCAGTGAGGGAGATCCTTTGATAAGTCAACCTGAAATAAGAGATTTTTCCAGATGTTTTTACTCAGAGTTAAAGTACTTGAGAAAATTCACTTGCACTCCAAAATTAAGCAGGGATATCCCATTATCAACAAACTGAGGAAAAGCAAAAATGTTATATGTTATACAGAACAAAAGAAAAAAACATTATGCTCTAACCATAATATATTATAAATCAGAATATTTGCTAAATGAGATTAGTCGCTTTTGTCCACACTGTGAGATTATGTATATATTAATATCTTATACTTTCTTAACCATTATACTACACACACACACACACACACACACTGTTTCCACAAAGTTCATGAAAAATGATGAAAAAATTACGAACGGATTTCAAAATTCCTTGCACCAAAATAAACTTTTCTTTTAATTTCATTTTCTATCAACTTTCTGAAGTTCCTTCTGACACGTATCGTATCATGTCATGTTTTATTTAACTCTTTTCTAAAAAAACATTTTGAAGGAAGCTGAATTTCTAGCTAACGGAGAACTTCCAGGATGTACTTTGGAAATATTAAAATGAACTTGTCCTAGTGGACCAAATGAACAAGGACATTTTACAATCTCATATCAAGGTTACGTCCTGATCACCTGTTGACACCCCAAAAAGTAGAGATTACAGGGCTTTACCACACACATATCTTAGGAGGACACAAACAGTCCACAATACTTACAGAACACTTTGTCTCAGAACAATGTTTTAGGCACGTGTCACAGCAATTTCATAAACATTTGAAATATGTGATTGTCTTTTGCAATAAACAACTATGTTCTATCCCATTAAAATTCTGTTCTGAGATCAACTCAGTTTTCACCAAAGGATATCATCTTATTTCTTATGTATTATACCCAACTGTTCGATTTTAATATTATGAAGTTAAAATATTAAGTTTATTTCTTTGAACCCTCGAATTCAAAAGGTCTTATGAGTTTGGCACTACACTGGCTCTATCCCCGACTGCAAATGTAAACTCTCGCGTGCAGTCTCACTGCAGGAGAGCAAAATGTTCAATTCTACCAGCTCAATCTCCTTGCCAAGTTGGCTGGTGATCAGAAAAAGGAAAATCCCAAACCCCAGACCTTTTGTCTTCTGTATCACCACATTTGTCTACTGATCACCACATTTAGGAATGAAGCTCAGCCACTGATAAAGTAATAGAACCTAAAGCTCATCAGATGGAAACATATACAATTTCTTTAAATGGAAAAAAAAAACTGTGGAACTAACAATGTATCTGAGTTTCCTTCAAATTATGTATTTGAACCTTCTTATAAAATATGTATCAACATATCTATTTGCATTTTACAGATGAATGATTCTTAGTGATAGAGCATATACTGCCTGCATTTGCTAAATGATACAAGTTAATTTCCAAAGGAATTTTCCAAATGAATTTCATGAAATCATCCAGGATCACAGGGATCTTTTGGTATGATGAACATGGCCGGTGCTATGCCATAATGGGTAAAGCCCCTGCCTGCAATGCCACCATCCTAGATGGGCAACAGTATGAGGCTATGTTGCTCCACTTTCTATCTAGCACCCTACTGATATGTGTGGGGAAGCAGCAAAAGATGGCCTGGGCCTCGCACAATGGCACAATGGTTAAATCTTCACCTTGCAAACGCCAGAATCCCATACGGGCACTGGTTCATGTCCCAGCTGCTCCACTTCCCTTCCAGCTCCCGCTTATGACCTGGGAAAGCAGCAGAGGATGCCCCAAGGTCTTGAGACCCTGCAACCATGTCAGAAACTCAAAAGAAGCCCCTGGCTCCTGGTTTCGAACCAGCTCAGCTCTGGCCATTCTGACCACTTGGTGAGTAACCTAGTGGTTTGGAAGATCTTTTCCCTCTGTCTCCCCTTCTCTCCATAAATCTGATCTGCCTTTCCAATAAAAACAAACAAATATTAAAAAAAAAAAAAAAGATGGTGCTAATGCTTGGACCCCTGCACCTAGGTTGCAGACCTGGAAGAAGTTCATGTTCTTTCTGAATCAGGCTGGATCCAATCCTTGAGAACATCTGGAGAGTGAATCAGCAGAGGGAAGGGCTTTGTTTCAGCCTATCCCCCACGCACCTCTCCGTAACTCTGCCTTTCAAATAAAAATTTTAATCTCAAAAAAAAATGATGAATGAAAAAGCCACCTGTGTACAACCACTTGTTTTCTGAAGCTTAGCTAACAAACTTTCTCAAAAACCACAGACGGTTAGGGGCAGTCAGGTGTGCCAGGCATTGTGACCCAGTTTGGAAAATACTAGTTACCACTTTGGGTTTGAGTTTTGTGCTCACTTCAGTAGTACATACAATTTGGGTTTATTTTTTGTTTTTGTTGTTGTTTTGTTTTTGTTTTGTTTTGCTTTGTTGCTCTGTCTGGCAACCCACTTGTAACAAAGATGTTGAAAATGCAACAATACAATATATCAAAGATGGATCAGATGAGCAAAATCAGTGTAAAAAAGGTTCAAACACTGGTGCACAGTACTTCCTAGGTCAAATCTTCCCCACTCCATGGCTAAAGTAATAGTTTACATTTATTTGGTGCTTAAGTACAAAGTGCCATTACTAAACCAGCAAGTATACTGTAATTCCTGTGTCAGGTTCTGTGCAGCTGAGGATAGAGCCAGACTGTTTCAGCTCACATACTCAGGCGGTGACTACAGGCCTGGATGGCCAACTGAAAGCAGGGGGCTCAAGGCTTTTACTCTTTCATTTTGACTACAATTGCATTTTTATTCTGCTTACCATAGTTAAGGCTAGTCTTATCTGATTATAGTAGAACAAAGGCTTGTTAAAAAAAGAGTAACGGGGCCAGCTCAGTAAGGCACTAGCATCCACATGGGCTGTTCTACCTCCAATCCAGCTCCCTGCTGGTGTACCTCTAAGACAGAAGAGGAACGCTCAAGCGTGTGGGTCCTCCTTCATGCATATGAGACATGAGAATGAAGATTCTGGCTTCAAACCAGCCCAGCTCTGGCTATTATGTCAATGTGAAAAGTGAGTCAGTGGATGGAAGATGTCTGTGCCTCTGGAAGCGCTCTGTAATTCTGCCTTTCAAATAGAAATAGGGAAAGGGAAAGGAAAAGGGAAAGGGAAACAAAAGAAAACAAAAGAAAACAAAGGAAAACAAAAGAAAAGAGAAAGAAAAGGGGCCCAGCACAGTAGCCTAGTGGCTAAAATCCTTGCCTTGCACATGCCATAATCCCACATGTACACTATTTCCTATCTTGGCTAACCCCACTACTATTCCAGATCCCTATTTGTGGCCTTGGAAATCAGTGGAGGATGAGCTAAATCTTTGGGACCCTACCCCTGCATGGGAGACCCTGAAGATGCTCCTGGCTCCCGGCTTCAGATCAGCTCAGCTCTGGCCATTGCGGCCACTTGGGGAGTGAACCAGCAGATAGAAGATCTTTCTGTTTCTCCTTCTCTGTAAATCTAACTTTCCAATAAAAGTGAGTAAATTAAAAAAAAAAAGTTTTGAAATATACTAGACGTAAACAACTAACAGAATGAGATGCCATTTTTTTTCCTGCAAGAAACATATTTATAGAAAATACCCAAAACCATAAGTCTGACAAACACTGTGTCCATGATGCTAAATCTTATCTTATACAACCGATCTCGTTCTATGCATCTTGTAAGTTGCAAGTTTTCAAAGTCCCGCAGCACAAGGAAGGAGCAATGCACTCATTATAGGAATGTGACAGAGGTCACGCCTCCTACCTCTTCTGCAGTCCAGAAGGATGCCTGTGCTTGCTTATACATCTTCCAAATATCGGGGTACTGGATTGGAAAGATGACAAACCGGCGAGAACTCTTCCTTAGGAGTGGTTCTTCGTCTTCATTGGTATCTGAAGATAACCTCTGAAAAACATCAAGGACAAATTCTACTGACACTTCTTCCAGATCTAGAATGTGTGTATGGGGAAGTCAGGCACAGGTTTCTGGGCCAGTTTCTCTGGGTCAATCCTTACCAGCATCCGATAATTGCCTAATAATAGTGTGTTGACAGTCTGTGACTATAAGGAGGGGCTTAACTTCTCTGAGCCTGAGCTATAAAATAATACCATGTGTCACATGTTCTGAAGGGTCATTTTGTCCATAACCTTAGACATTTACACACAAGGACATCTATTGTTCTATCTTGGTACCTATTCTCAAAAACAGCTGATATAATGTATTTATTTGACAGGCAGAGAAAGAATGTGAGTTAGCTCCTGTCTACTGACTCACTGCCAAAAACCATTAATGGCCTAGGCTTGGCCAGGCCAAAGCTGGGAAGCACAAACTCAATCCAGGTCTGTCATGTGGGTGTCGGGGACCTCCTCACTGGAGCCACCACTGCTGCCTCCCAGGGTCTGTATCAGCAGGAAGCTATTTCCTCCTGCAGTCAGAGCCAGGGCTGAGCACAGAACTCAGGTACTCTGACATGCAGTGAGGATGTCTTAACCAGGAAGCCAAATGCCTTCCCCTGCAATCTCTGCTTGAGTGTTTATTATGTGCCAGGCTCTGTTTAGAGCATTTGATGTAGGTGCCAGCCCTGATAAGTCTTGATTTTTATTTATTGTTGTTTAAGATCTGCTATTTATTTGAAAGTTAGAGTTATAGACAGAAGGGGAGAAACAAAGAGAGATCTCCCATCTGTCGGTTCACTGCCTGGATAACGGCAATGCCTAGGGCTATGCCAGGCCAAAGCCTGGAGCAGGAACTTTATTTAGGTCTCCCATGTAGACCCAAGGGCCTAAGCAGTTGTGCCATCTTCCACTTCTTTTTCCAGGCCATTAGCAAGCAGGAAACTGGACTGGAAGTGGAAACACCAGGACATAAATCAGTACCCATTTAGGATGTCAGCGTCACAAGTGGCAACTTTCACTACTACATCACCATACAGGTCCTGAAGAAAGTTTTTAAATGCTGACAAAGAATTGATCAGTGTTAAGGTCCATTAAATTGGAGCCAGTGTTATGGCATAGTGAGCTAAGCATTCACCTGTGTTACCAGGACTCCGTATAGGCATCTGTTTCAGACCTGGCTGCTCCATTTGTAATTCAGCTCTCAGCTAATGAGCCTTAAAAATAGTGAAAGACAGTTCAAGTGTTGGGGTCCTTGTACCCTTGCACCCACTTAGGAGCCCAAAAGAAGTTTCAGACTTATGGTTTCTGCTTAGAACCGTCCTAAAGCTTACGGCCATTGGAAGTAAACTAGCAGGTGGAAGATTCTCTCTCTGTGGGTAACTCTACCTCTCAAATAAATTAAAACCATAAGAAGAAAGAGGGGCCAGCACCCTGGCTTAACTGTCTAATCCTCAAACTTCAAGCACTGGCGCCACAGGAGCGCTAAGTCACTTCCTGGATGCTCCACTTTGCATCGAGCGCCCTGATTGTGGCCTGGGAAAGCAGGGGAGGACAGTCCAAGGCCTTTGGTCCCTGTACCTGCATGAGAGACCTGGAAAAAACTTGTGGTTCCTGGCTTTGGATCAACTCCACTTCAGCCACTACAGCCATTTGGTGAGTGAACCAGCGGATGGAAGTTCTTTGTCTTTCCTTCTCTCTGTAAATCTATCTAATAAAAATAAAATAATAATAAATAAAAATAAAATAATAAAAATCTTTTCAAAAAACAGTTTTCAAAAAAATCTACAAAATTGATTAAAACATCATCTAAACTATAATAAAGGTCATGTTTGTATATATCCCCTTCCTGTTGTGTCTTGATCACATGTGGACTGTTAGGAGAAGCTGGATTAGAAGTATTATGAGGGCCCGGTGGCGTGGCCTAGCAGCTAAAGTCCTCGCCTTGAACACACTGGGATCCCATATGGGCGCCGGTTCTAATCCCGGCAGCTCCACTTCCCATCCAGCTCACTGCTTGTGGCTTGGGAAAGCAGTCAAGCACGGCCCAAGGCTTTGGGTCCCTGCACCTGTGTGGAAGACCTGGAGGAGGTTCCTGGTTCCCGGCTTCAGATCAGCGTAGCACCGTTGCGCTCACTTGGGGAGTGAATCATCGGATGGAAGATCTTCCTCTCTGTCTCTCCTCCTCTCTGTATATCTGACTTTGTAATGAAAATAAATGAATCTTCGAAAAAAAAAACAGTATTAGGAAAGATCTAGTGGTATGAGGAGAGGCTGTGAAGCAACATAAACCTGTGACCTTGCTACACATGATGCAGTGCTTATTTCATGATACTTTGGTAAACGTACAAAAGCATATTTTGATTCAATTCCAGAAAGTTCATGCATCCTTCCTTAAGTCATGGGCTTTCCATGGTACTCTCTCTAGATCTAAAAATTAATATTTTCAAAGAAAAAAAAGGGGGGGCTTAATGCTATATGTCCTTGGGTTCCTGCATCCACCTGGGAAGCCTGGAAAAAATTCCTGGCTCATGGCTTCAGTCTCGTCACATCTCCAGCTCCAGCTACTGAGTGATACTGAAAAGAAAGAATAGGCACACTGCAGGTACTCAGGACCTGGAAAGCAACAATAAATCCAATAAATCAGAAACAGCTTCTTGCTTCTGTGAAACAGAATCTGAAGTCACTTGTTCCAGTAACTCTAGATACAACAGTAAGATACAAATACAAAAGTCTTGCTGAAATGGATGCAGGACAAACAAAAGCAAAGGCAGAAGTGATCTGGGGCCCAGCGCGGTGGCACAGTGGTTAAGGTCCTCGCCTTGCACGCCCGGGATCCCATATGGGCGCTGCTTCTATCCCGGCAGCCCCACTTCCCTTCCAGCTCCCTGCCTGTGGCCCGGGAAAGCAGCAGAGGACGGCCCAAAGCTTTGGGACCCTGCACCCACGTGGGAGACCCGGAAGAGGCTCCTGGCTTTGGATCGGCATAGCATCGGCCGTTGTGCTCACTTGGGGAGTGAATCTTTGGACAGAAGATCTTCCTCTCTGTCTCTCCTCTCTGTATATCCGCCTTTCCAATAAAAATAAAATAAATCTTAAAAAAAAAAAAAAGAAGTGATCTGATTTGGATAAAGAAACAACTGACAGATAAAGAATATCTGCAAAGTTTCTTGATTCTATGTATCATTCAGGCTGAAATTAGGAATTAATTTTGTAATTCAATAACCATTGCTGTGGATGGTCACAGAGCATTCCTAAATAGTTTTTAGGGGCCCAGCGCAGTCCTCGCCTTGCAAACACAGTGATCCCATATGGGCACCGGTTCTATCCCGGCAACCCTGCTTCCCACCCAGCTTCCTGCTTGTGGGAAAGCAGTCAAGGATGGCCCAAAGTTTTGGGACCCTGCACCTGAATGGGCATGCCAGGGCAAAAACCTTAGTCAATACTGTCTGGCTTTCACTCACAGTGAGTTGGCTGAGACTGGCATTGAACATGGCTCCTGCCTCCCAGCCATCCCCAATTCCACCACTCACACCTATTTCTACTTCTCCATTTAGTGAAATACATATGATGTCACAGTCTACATACCTTACAGGTCTCATTCTAATTTTTCACTCTTCGATTTTCACCAAATGTACAAGAATATTACCGAGGTACAAGAACTTGATTTTTAAACCTCTTTTTATTACTGACACATAGGCATATTATTTACTATTTTTGGTCAAATTTTTTCACCTGCGGAATAGGAATTATGAAGTAAATAAGTAATTGTTAATTTTAAGAAATGTGTGAGTTATACATTCCCTCCTTAGGGTAGTCACATCTCCACAAAGAAAACCTAGAAAAAAACTTGCAATCATAAACTCATTTCAGGTCCAACTATGGAAATAAGTTTTCAAGAAAGTTTCTTAAAATATGTGCACTTGAATCACCCAAAGTCTTGTTAAACATTCAGATTCAGAAGCATCGCATTCAGTCTGAGATGTGGACTCAGTAACACATTTTTTAACCAAGTACTGGGGATGGCTCATGCTCCATCAGACCTTTATTTTTCATCATGAAAAATTCATTCTCAGCCCAAGGCCCAGCCTTTGTGTGAAGGTAAACTCCCAGAAGGCATAGCGGGTTGTATACCTGCTTGCTCCACTTCTGAATCAGCCTCCTGCCAATCCACCTGGGAGGCCGCCAACCATGGTTCAATAATCTGCTTTCTGCCACCATGTGGGGCAAGCAGATGGGATTCCAGGATCCTGGCTCGTGGCAGGGCCCTGGTCTAACCACTGTGACATTTGAGGAGTGTACAAACAGATGAAAATAAATATGCATTTTTTTTAAAAAGTTAACTTCCAGGTGTTAGTACCTGAATGCCTGACTGATTGATTGTTGGTGTCATTAGCCAAATTATTCAATGTGAGTGGGCAAACTGGAGTTATCTGTAAAGCATTTGTACCAAAAAAGGAAGAAAAGTTTAAGGGGGTATTCTCAAAGTGTCACCAAATGTTTACAAAACCAAAATTAAGACAAATCAAATCCCAAATCTGGAATTTAAACTTCCCAAAGAGATGCAGGGCTCAGCATGAGTGTCTGTGTGCTGAAAACACCCAATCTTCACAAGATTAATTCAAAAACACCACACAGAGCTTCAAGATCAAGCACAAAAAGTATTTATGTTGTTCACAAATGGCTCCTAAGTATTTCCAGAAGAAGAGTGTGAAAATTACAGAGCAACAATCTAAGGTACAACCTACAATCTTCATAAAGGTCTTTTTTTGTTTGCTGTTATTATGGACATCTCAGTGTGGACAAGTTGACACATTTACTAAGAACCTACAACTTGGGTGACACTTTGCATATCAAATTTTAGTCTTCTCTGAGCCAAGTATCACTTCCACTGTGTAAATGGAGAAAGTGACGCCCCAAAGATTCAAAGTAGCACGATCAGACTCTGCTGGCCCCTGCATCTGGTTGCCTGTTTCATTATGATAAGTAAGAATCCGTCCCTTTTGGCACTTCCCACATCCCTTCACATCTCGCCTCAGTTTCCCCAGCTAGGGCTCCAGCAACAGGGAGCACGAATGAGGAGCGCGCCTCCCCCGGGGCCCTCGCAGCCTAGGACAGGAGCAGCCGAGCGAAACCCCGGCTCCCTCCTCGCGGCTCCCCGGGGACGGCCACCCGGACGCTCGCAGCCACGAAACCCGGCAGCAGCCAGAGTTTCCGGGGGCAAGAAACAAAATTTTCGACAATAACGGTAACCTGCGGCTCCCCACTGTAGTTCATAGTCTCCAGGCCAGGCGTGCCTGCGGGGCGCGGAAGGAAGAGATAGCAACATTTACCTCTACCTGCTCGGGCCTGGCCGCTTCCGGCCTTTCCGGGTCGCCCATCGCGCAGACTCCGCCAGTGCTAGTGGGGACGAAGTAACCAAGCGCCTCCAGCCACCCTTAACTAGGACGGGACTTAGGCAGCCTCCGGCTAGCCCCACCCCTTGCGCTCCGGCCAGCGAGCTCGCCCGCACCGGCCTGGTCCCGCCCCCGGCGGCCGGGACTCGCCCACTCCCGCACAGCCCTACAGATCGGTTCCGCCCCAGCCACAGAGACACGCCCACCCCAGCAGGCCCCGCCCCCCGGCGGCCGGGACTCGCCCACTCCCGCACAGCCCTATCAGTAGGATCCGCCCCAGCAACAAAGACACGCCCATCCCAGCAGGCCCCGCCCCCGGGGGCCGGGACTCGCCCACTCCCGCAGCACCCTACCAGTCGGTTCCGCCCCCTCTCCCGACCTCAAAGATTTTGGCCGCTTCCGTTCGCCCCGCCCATTCCGTTGGACAGTCCAGAGTCCTCCTGCCCAGGACAGTCCCACCCACTCAGTTCCTGGGCCCGCCCACTCCGGCTGCTGTCGCTTTAGTGCACCGCCCCAAGTCCCGCCCACCCACTGCGGCACACTCTGCGCCTGCCCGGCGCCGGCAGGGCTCCACCCACCTACCCAGGCCACGCCTTCTCTGCCCGCCCCGCCCCCGCCTGAGGCGCGCGCTCCGAGGCGCACGGCCTGGTGAGGGAGGACCGCACGCCGCCCTGGCTGTCCTTCCCCTGCTCCTGGAGCCTCTGCAGCTAGTCCTCGTCCCCACCCCGGGGAGGTTGCCTTCCCCAGGATGAGGCGAGAAGCAGGCACTGTGGACCTGCGAATGGACGGCGGGAAAACCACAGCGTCAAGAAAATATCGAGGAAGAAAAGTGTGGCCTGTTTGCCATTTCAGCCGCCGGGTGAGTGGTTGAGGGAAAGAGTAGGTGTGTGTTGGTGTTTGACAGGAGAGAGGAAGATCTTAGGGAACTGCGGGAAACTGTTTCAGCAAACTAAGTTTTTAGCGACAGTGCTTGAGCTCTTCAAAGTGCCAGGCACTACACCAAAGCAAATCTTCAGGATTCTGACCCAAAGAAACACAGCAGTTTCTCTCACGCTGAAGATGAAGAAACAAGTTATGCAGTTAAGAAGTCACAGATTCCAGAAGCTCCTGGCGACCTGCCCTTTCTCGAAAAAGTAGACAGACTCCTGAGTAGCGTTAACACTGGGAACATAGCTATGAGAATTTGCTTGAATTACCAATACTCTTCCCCTCAGAGACATGAAAACTAACTACAGCAAAAGAAAAACTAGTCTGTTCTAACCAAGGTGGAAGAACTTAACTAGGTTGAAGCCGAGTACCTATTTTGTGGAAAGCTGTCTGAAGTATGGTAGAGAAGAAAATGAAGCTGAAGCATTGAAAGGAACGAAAACTTCCTGAAGCCTGCCCTGGGATGGGACACAAAGTTAGCCTTCCTTAAAGCAATTACTGAAGGTCAAATACTGACTGCAATATTTGCAGTCAGTATTTGTTTTAAATTGTTTTAAAAGGGTCACTTAAATTTTATGAGGAAACAAAAGTAGTTAATTTCATACAATGGCAGGTGAACTAAGAACCAGCATTGGCAGCTAATGCTCCAAGTAGCTCAACAGGCTTTGCTGTGACGCATATCAAGACACTAGCTCCAGAGATCTTTCAAATTTTCAGACACATTCTGAGGAGATGCAATCCCCAGCCACCAGAGAACTGGGTCATACTCTCCTGCAAGAGCATCCTGCACAGATGGGTCAAAAGTACCCAGAGGGGGCCCGGCGCGGTGGCGCAAGTGGTTAAGTCCTCGCCTTGCACGCCCGGGATCCCATATGGGCGCCGGTTCTAATCCCGGCAGCCCCGCTTCCCTTCCAGCTCCCTGCCTGTGGCCCGGGAAAGCAGTTGAGGACGGCCCGAAGCTTTGGGACCCTGCACCCGTGTGGGAGACCCGGAAGAGGCTCCTGGCTTCGGATCGGCATAGTATCGGCCATTGCGGCTCACTTGGGGAGTGAATCATCGGACGGAAGATCTTCCTCTCTGTCTCTCCTCTCTGTATATCCGCCTTTCCAATAAAAAATAATAAAAATAAATCTTTAAAAAAAAAAAAAAAAGTACCCAGAGGCCACTCTCCATTTAAATACTGAGCTCTCCACCCCAGGAGCAGCTTAAGTCTTACTGTATAACATACACCCTATTTTGGAGCATGTTTCTGAACTGCACCTACGGGGACTTGTACACACCCTTTAGGGCTAGCACTGTGGGGCAGATTAAGCCATTATCTGCAGCGCTGGCATCCTGTATCAGAGTACCAGTTCCACTCCCAGCTACTCCTGTTCTGATCCAGCTTCTTCCTAATGGGCTTGGGAAAATGATGGATAACAGTTTGGAGACTGTTAGACGAAACTAGATCAGTGGCTCTGTTCCATTGATTGGAACTTGATTTGGCTGAAATACCCTTTAATTCACAAGAAACTTTCATTGGTTTCTTAAAAAAAAATTTTTTTTCATTTGAGTGACAGAGAATCTTCCATCCACAGGCTTATTGTCCAAATATCTGTAAAATGTCTATAACAACCCAGCAGTAGATCAAAGCCAGGAACCAGGAACTCCATCTAGGTATCTCAGATGGCTAATGAGTAAATAAATTTTTAAAAATTAACATTTTAAAGGTGCAAAGGTCCAGTCACGATAATATCAACAGCATGTTTCTGATGTGGACTTGGTTACTGAAATTCATTCATTTAAATAAACTTTATTACACTGAATACTAGAGAGGGAAACTTCAGAAACAGATCACTGATTCATGACTTTTGAACCAGGTACTATTCCTTGCACTGTGCTCAGCAAAGTAAACAAGAACAATTTCTGATAGTCCCTTGTAGACCACTGAGAAAAGTTAGGTAATAAACTAATTTCCTCAACAAAGAGTGTTGAGTAATCAGGTTTGTTCTTCTCTGAAGCTTTTAAGGGGAAATCATAACCACGAACGGGTATGTCCCTTGTTAACTGTCAAGAAATCTCAGAAGTAAGGAATGACTAAAAATTGCATGAACATCCTAGTTCACTTCACATAAACCTTCTCCTGCTCTGTGATACAAGTTTATGCCTCCGTTATTTAAATAGTCTTTTTAAAAAAAGGTGTTTTATGATCGTTAGGGTACTTTTTATAAAAGTGTTTATGCAAGAAAACAGACTATGTCCTTTGCAAGTCAAGAATATTAACTTTTCTGTATAATGCTTTATTATTTCATTAAATGATGGATCTTTAAGTAAGGACTTCTTCCATGGATGCTTACTTTGTTCATGGTGAGAGAGGAGTTAGTGGGTAGTAGGCAGTTAGGGTATTCTGGGTCCCCGAGTAAAAGAGAATTTCCCCACCATGTCTTGAACTCACCAGGGCACGTCTCTTCCAAGGGACAGTGGTGCTATTAGCATATCAATTCCCCACCTGAAGTATGGGCCATCCCCTCTGGCCATTGTGGGAGGGCCTCAGGCCGATCTCTTTATCATTAAAAGGAGAGCAGGAAGAAGTAATACACATCTGCCCAAGGCCTGGAATGTCCTATGTCTGGCACCTCTATGGCCTTTTGTCCCAAGGCCAGGTACCATGGAAACCAGGAATTTTCTTTGTTTATGGAGAAACATCTTTGAGGAAAACCTTTAAAAGGTGCATTCCCCACCATTCATTCGGGTTTTTTGGGTTCTTATTTTCCTGCCACTATGGCAGAGCACTGAGGTCCTTTTCCTCCTGCCACTATGGCAGGAGGTAAGGGTCTTTTCTATCTCAAAACCCCCTCCCGTCGCTAGGACGGGAGTCTTCTCTTCTCAACTTTTCTAATAAATCTTGCTTTAAAACTAAACTGTGTCCGCATGAAAATTCTTCTTTCCTGCGAGACAAGAATTTGAGGTTGCTGCCATACTCGGAGTCAAAATTCCTGCAACAATGGCCCTGTATGCAAGAGACAGTATTTTTTTGCACTGCAAATTTGACCAACTTTGATTGTATCCTTTAAAACGCATGCATGCTTCCCTTTTTCTAGGGCATATAGAACAGTTCTTTTTTTTTAAAGATTTATTTTTATTATTTTTTCATTGGAAAGGCGGATATACAGAGAGGAGAGACAGAGAGGAAGATCTTCCATCTGATGATTCACTCCCCAAGTGAGCGCAACGGGTCGATACTATGCCGATCCGAAGCCAGGAGCCTCTTCCAGGTCTCCCACACGGGTGCAGGGTCCCAAAGCCTTGGGCCGTCCTCGACTGCTTTCCCAGGCCACAGGCAGGGAGCTGGAAGGGAAGCGGGGCTGCTGGAATTAGAACCGGCGCCCATATGGGATCCCGGGCGTGCAAGGCGAGGACCTTTAACCACTTGCGCCACTGCGCCGGGCCCTATAGAAGTTCTTACTGGAATGTTGCCAGCCGCATCTGTATGCACTGGCCACATGCCGTACCCAAAATGGCGCCGGCCAGAGAAGCCACATCTTGGTGTTTGGTGGAGAGTCACGTAGATTTCGCAGTACTGTGCAGGCGCCTAGCGCATGCGCAGTGAGCTGCGGTGCGGCAGGCACATAAACACTGGGACTGACGAATCCAGTCGCCCAGAACCCTGCGTAATCATGACGCCGACCTATCATCGGCGGAGGCGGGGCCAGACAGCACATAAGAGCAGAAAGCCTGCCGGGGTCGGAGCCTCTTTCCTCCTCATCTTGCTGTGCACAATAAATTTTACCGCAGAAGGCTTCACTCGCGTCTGCGTCTTATTGCTGGGCGGTAAGACACGTGGGCGCGACACTGGAATAAACTGACCACAATTGAACATTAGTAAGCCTTGGGTGCTGTTTCTGAAATAAGGCTGTTGGCATATCATCCTTTATTAGTTGCAGTATGAAGATTTTTTTAGACCTGGTAAGACCAAATGTTGCACTAAAAATGGTTTCACTGTATTGAAACTTTTGAGTTTGCTACTTCTACCATGTCTTAAAGACCTTTATCTAACAGAGATCAAAACCTCTCCTTTCATTTCTGTATTTTTGAGCTAACTATGTTAACTGCTTTTATTTTTCACTCCTCATCACAATACAGTTCTTTGTAGC